GCCCAGACGGCGGCAGCGGCGGCGGCGGCCGCACGCGGCGACCCGGCCCCGGCCCCCTCCGCTCCTGACCATGCCACCTCCCGTGCCTCCCACAGAGCTGGTGCCGTCGGAGCGCGCCGTGGTGCTGCTATCGTGCGCGCTCTCCGCGCTAGGCTCGGGCCTGCTGGTGGCCACGCACGCCCTGTGGCCCGACCTGCGCAGCCGGGCGCGGCGCCTGCTGCTCTTCCTGTCGCTGGCCGACCTGCTGTCGGCCGCCTCCTACTTCTACGGGGTGCTGCAGGACTTCGAGGGCCCCTCGTGGGACTGCGTGCTGCAGGGCGCGCTCTCCACCTTCGCCAACACCAGCTCCTTCTTCTGGACGGTGGCCATCGCCCTCTACCTGTATCTTAGCATCGTCCGCACCTCGTGCGGCCCCGGAGACGGCCGCCTGCTTTGGGCTTTCCACGTCGTCAGGTGGGTGGCGGCGACGCTGCTTTCCCTCCTCGGGTCCAGTGACCCCTGCCTGGATCCTGTCTGCTGCCCCTGTGGCCCTCGCCACCCTCTGGGCCCTGCGTCTTGACTGGACCCCTGGCCAGGCGCCCAGCGGGCAGTGTCTGCTCCTGTCCCGGGACAGCCCTGGGCCAGCAGAATGATGCTAGGCTTGCCTGGGAGATGAACTTGTCCTGAACATCGCCGCAGGGGGCGCCCCTTTGAGGCGGCCCCAGCCCTAGCCTCCCAGTGAGGTGGGCGCCTCAGCGCAGGCCCTGGAGGGTGGGAGGGGCCAGAGCTCGCCCTCAGAGCGTGGCCCTGGTAACTTGGAAGCACCTGGAGAGCTGGCGAGGCCACTCTGGGCCCTTGGCCTCCTGCTTCAGTGCGTTCCTGCCATCTCTGCTGACCATGGGGATGGGGGAAGCAGCTGGTCAGGCCGGGAGATGAGTTAGGTGTGAGGTGTGTCAGCCACTCTCAGGCTGCCCTCCACCCAGCCCTTTGCCAGGTGCAGTTCTTCAGCTGTAAGATTTAGGAAGGACAGTCTTGTTTATTTTATCTTTGCTCATCTCTAAACCTCAGGCCCCAATCTCTTGTTATCTCTGTTCGAGATGATCTTACTTTCTTTCCAGAGTTCAGCAACTCTGAAATTGAGGTCAGAGGCAGAGGCTGGTCTGGAAGAGGGCAGCCAGCGGCCTGCAGTCTCTGAGAGCAGAGAAAACCAAGGCCTTGTCCTGCTCTGGCTTTGAAGGGTCTCATCCAAGTAACCCTCATCTACGGAAAAAGGTGGGCCCCTTCCTGGTGTAGTTTCAAGATTCAAACATCTGGTGGTGTCCTCTGGTGAACCCAAGGCAGGAATTTTATAGAGCTTCTTTCCACTTCTCCTTCCTCCAGATACGAGTACCAAATGCTGCCCTAATTATAGGTCCTCTCTGTTAAATACTTGAGTTCTTTCCAAGGGACTGAAGATAGTCAGCACTTTGGTAGAGACAGGTCACCTGGGTGTCACAGCAGTGAGGTCACAAGCCTGCAATAGTCACTTGACCTCCAGGTCTCAGAGCTGTTGGATGGAGGCCAGCTGGTCCCTGGGAAACTAAACGGCCTGCTTCTCGGCTGTTCAAGTCAAAATGTTTGTAGTGAGCCATTCAGATGTGCCTCAGGTGCTGCAGAGACCCACAGAGAGCGGGGCTGCCTCCCCACCTCCCGCATCCAACCTGATCCTACCAACCATTTCGGAGACCCCGTCCTCGGCAGGCTGGTTGGCTGTGGGCAGCGTGGAGCTCACGTGTACTTGAAAAGGAGCCCAAGACTTTCTTTGCAAAATTCTCTTGTCTTTTTCCCCCTCTTTTGAAAAATACTGAATACAATGTATTTTTCAAGTGATAAAGAGAGCCTGGTGCAGCTCCTATAGAAAAGACATTTCCTAAGAAACCTTTCTTTTCACTTCTAGGGATGTTTTCTGTGATGCTTAGGGAAGGCCTCTTAAGAAAGCCCATATGTCCTTCTCTGGCCATAAAAAGGAAGCGAATTGTTCCTCTTCTCTGTTGAATGTGATCCACCTGCTTCTTAAAAGAAAAAAAAAAAGAAGAAAGAAAGAAAATTACTTGTATCCAAGCTAGAAAGGGACTTTGACAGTTTATTCCCTGTCAGAAGTCAGCACTCATGTTGCTGGTGTGAGACTTGGTAAGACCTGTCCAACAGGTTCATGTATTGACCTAGGTCCTCCCAGACTGTATTGCTAAGGACGCTTCAGCATCTTTCTTTGGAGGATGAGTTTGTTGCTGCTGAAGGACCTCTTGGCGTGGGAAATCTCATCTTCACACTGGCAGCCCAGGCCCCCACTCGCTAACCATTTCAAATGACTGCAAATCAGTCCTCTTCTTCAAACCTTCCAGTCTTGGAAAATATTTTACTTTTATTTATTTATTTTAAAATATTTATTTATTTTTGGCTGTGTCGGGTCTTAGCTGTGGTACGCAGGCTTTCTAGTGGCGCGTGGGCTCAGTAGTTGTGGCTCGTGGGCTCGGTAGTTGCGGCACACGGGCTTAGTTGCCCCGCGGCATGTGGGATCTTAGTTCCATGACCAGGGATCAAACCCACATCCCCTGCATTGGAAGGCGGATTCTTAACCACTGGACCACCAGGGAAGTCCCCCGGAAAATATTTTAAAATATGACAACACAAAGGGTTGCTCTCTCTATTCTTATGAGTTGATTTTTTTTTTTTTAAACTGACAAATATCTTGAGAAACAGACAAAGGACATTCTGACGAAATAGTAAAAGCATGAATACTCAAAACAATACAACAGTGAGGTACCATTTTCTCATTAAATTAGAGGGAAAAAAATAGTAAGGCAGGATACTAATGTGATAAATGCAGATGAAACTGGTGTTTTCCTACATTATTATTGGCCATGTAAGTTGGAATAATCCATGTAGAAAACATTTGGTTCATACCCCTTGATCCCAGCAATCCTATTTGTAGGCATCTAGTCTAAGGAGATAAACCAAATTACATGCAAAGTTGGATGTACAAAGGAGTTTGCATGGCATTGTTAGCCAGAACAGTGATGAGAATTTGAAAGCAACCTAAATGTTCAAAAAGTCGGGGATCAGTAAGTTATAGACTACACCCCACCCAGAAGTGTTATGCTGCCAGTAAATACTGGCCATGAACTCTATAAGTCATATATTTTTTAAACGGTATGATACAACGTTAAGCGGGAAAAGCCATCTATAAAGCTAAATGCAGCCATGCACCGCAGGAGGCTGGAGAGAGTCGCAGCCAAGTTCCCACAAAGCGCCTCCATGGCGCCTGGGATCCCATCATAATGCCTGACATAGTTTCCTTTACAGAAAGACTTTATCTCGTTGGGGAAGGAGGGCAGCTTAGACTTTATCCTCAGAGAAATTGCCTGTCATCACAAGCTGCATCAGGCTCCTGAGGTCTTGCAAGGATCAGGCTTTGATCCTGCATAACGCAGGGGACTCACCCAGAGATGATCACCCTCCAGCCACAGCTGATGAGACTTTCCCAAGGCCACAGAGCTGTTAGCAGGAGGCTCAGGGTTAGAACTTCAAGGTCAGTGCCCCTTTTAGGATTCCATCTTGTCTCTTGGCCTTGATAATAATTTTTTAAACTGAGAGATAATTCGACAATCATTTATTTTTAACTTTCCAGATTCCCCCCATTATTAACACTTTACCATGTTAGCTTTACTTATCCTCTCCAATAATTTTTTTTCTGGAACCATGTAAGCATAAGTTACAGGGACTTCCCTGGTGGTGCAGTGGTTAAGAAACCACCTGCCAATGCAGGAGACACGGTTCGATCCCTGGTCCAGGAAGCAACTAAGCCCGTGCGCCACAACTACTGAGCCTGCACTCTATAGAGTCCGTGAGCCACAACTACTGAGCCCATGTGCTGCAACTCCTGAAGCCCGCATGCCTAGAGCCTGTGCTCCGCAACAAGAGAAGCCACCGCAATGAGAAGCCCGCGCACCGCAACAAAGAGTAGCCCCTGCTCGCCACAACTAGAGAAAGCCCGTGTGCAGCAACGAAGACCCAACACAGCCAAAAATAAAATTAAAAAAAAAAAGTAAGTTATAGACCTGATGCCCCCAATTCCTAAATCCTTCAGTGTGCATTTATTTCCAAAAGACAAGGGCAGTCTCTCTTTTTTTTTTTTTTTGCGGTACGTGGGCCTCTCACTGTTGTGGCCTTTGCCGTTGCGGAGCCAGGCTCCGGACACACAGGCTCAGCGGCCATGGCTCACGGGCCCAGCCCCTCCGCAGCATCTGGGATCCTCCCACACCAGGGCACGAACCCGTGTCCCCTGCATCGGCCGGCAGACTCTCAACCACTGCGCCACCAGCGAAGCCCAAGGACAGTGTCTTGCGTGACCACGTACACCTCCCCAAAGCAGAGAGTAACGTGGAGCAGTGCCAGTATCTGATTGTGTCATGTGAAGAAGCAAAAAGGCAAAGCAACTAAAAAGAAAAAAATATGTGTGTGTGTCTGGTAAAAAAAAAATCTGATTGTGGATCTATTGAGGTTCTGCCAGTTGTCTAATAAGGTCGCTGATAGCAAAGGGACTTTGTTTTCATGTCTCTTTATCGTCCTTCAATCGGGAGCAGTGTTTCCGTCTTCCTTGGTGTTTCACGACTGGTCTTTTTGAAGAGTACAGGCCCATTATTGTGTAGGATGTCCTCCCTCACCTGGGTTGCCTGATTCTTCCTTGGGAGTGGATTCAGGATCTGCACCTTGGGCTGGAATCTCACAGAAACCTGTTCTCGCTTCCTACCTGGTGGTGGCTGGAGACTCTGATTTGTTCCGTCCCCCGGTGATGTTCACTTTGATTGCTTGGTCAAGGTGTTATCTGCCAGTTCTCCACCACAGTTACTCTTGTTCCGTTTGTAATTAATAAGGATCTTGTTGAGATAAACCTCCTGGAACTCCTCAAGGTCTCACCCAAGGGTTTCACGTCCCCTGATTCCGACAGCATTCTGCGGTGACTCTTGTGAATGTTGCCGCATTTTTAAAGCGTGAGAATATTCTGTGTTCAGGGAAAGCCCTGTGATAAGTCCCTTTCTACTGTGTCTTAGCTGTGGAGGCGGCATGGTACCGACACCACATATTTTATTGATTGACTGCAGTATAGTTGATTTACAATGTCGTGTTAGTTCCAGGTGAACAACACAGTGATTCCGTTATATATTTATATTGTTTTTCAGATTCTTTTCCCTTATAGATTATTACAAAATATTGAGTATAGTTCCCAGTGCTATACAGTAGGTCCTTGTTGTTTATCTCTTTTATATAGTGTGTGTGTTTATGTTAATCCCAAACTCCTAATTTGTCCACCCCCCTTTCCCCTTTGGTAACCACAAGTTTGTTTTCTAAGTCTGAACCCATATTTTACATGCATGTGGATAAGCATCTGTGACCGTGTGTTTGCAGTTCTCACCTAAGAAAGGGCTGGGCAGCTT